GGGCTGGGAGTCACGCAGGAGACCTACCTTCTGGTCCAGGTTTGGCTCCCAAAACACTGGGAGGTCAGGCAGGTCGCCACTCCTCTCTGGCCTCCTCAAGGAAGGTTTCTCCCACATCTCAGAGTCCACATCCTCTAATAATCTACACTGAAGGAACAAGATCAGGTTTTGAACATTGGGTCTCAGTCTTTAGAAGCACTTGCAGCCGCCCGCCTACCTGCTCGCCAGGGTCCCTGCCATATGAACCCTGTGTTTTTGGTCTGTGCATCGAGCCTGCAAGTATGCTTTTGTTCGGAGGCTTTTGTTTTTTTGCATTTTTCCCTAGATAAATGTTTTTTTTTTTTCTCTGTGACACAATGTTTAAAACATAAAAAGAATCCCAAATAGTGTGATTTTGTATGTGTGTTTAACTTTCGTGCCAGGAAATAGGTCTTCATTTTGATTATAGAATGTAATACAATTACCATTTCAATGGACAACTAAGTTTCTTGTCTTTAATATGTAGACAGATAAAGGCCCAGTAATATCTATAGTTTTTGGGTAGAACTTCTAGAAACAGGGGCTTCTCACACAATTCATTTGGTCTTTCCTCCACTCGCATGTATTTGAAGGTATGCCAGGAACAGGTGCGGCTCTGTGCAGGCCGCAGGGTGCCAGGGCTCAAGAAGCTCTTGGTCTCAGGAGGAATGGATGGCAAAGACGGGTTAAAACATGGCCTATGGGCCCTATTATGGGTACTTAAAATGGGAAGATGGGCTAGGGAGGAAATGGGTGACTGCTTCAGATCGGGTGGTCAGAAGGCTGAGTTTGGGGAGGTAACATTTTACGCAGGGAAAGACTCAGTCCAGTGAAAGGAGAAAGCAGGGGAGCCTCTGAGGGCTTCATGCAGCCAGAGGAAGAAACACTCCGTATATTTAAAGAGTAGCAAACTCTGGCTGGGCGCAGAGGCTCCTGCCTATAATCCCAGCACTCTGGGAGGCTGAGGCAGGTGGATCCCTGGAGCTCAGGAGTCTAGACCAGCCTGAGCAAAAGCAAGACCCTGTGTCTACTAAAAATACAAAAACTAGCTGGGCGTTGTGGCGGGTGCCCATAGTTCCAGCTACTTGGGAGGCTGAGGCAAGAGGATTGCCTCACGAATTTGAGGTAGCTGTGAGCTATGGTGCCACGGGAAACAGAGCAAGACTCTATCTCAGAAGTCAAAAAGAAAACCCAAACTCATCAGAAATCTTCATTAAGTTTTCACAGTGGCAGTTGTTAACAAAGAAATAACAATAAAAAAAAGCTTTGAGGCTCGGCCCCTGTGGCTCAAGCGGCTACGGTGCCAGCTACATACACCTAAGCTGGTGGGTTCGAATCCCCAGCCCGGACCAGCCAAACAACAATGACGGCTGCAACCAAAAAATTGCCGGCCTTGTGGCAGGCGCCTGTGGTCCCAGCTACTTGGGAGGCGGAGGCAGGAGACTCGCTTGAGCCCAGGAGTTGGAGGTTGCTGTAAGCTGTGATGCCATGGCACTCTACCCAGGGGGACAGCTTGAGGCTCTGTTTCCAAAAAAAACAGGAGCTCACGTGCGAGGCGATGTGAAGAATGTAATTAAGGAAATATGGGGACATTTGTCATTCACTGAGAGGGAGAAATTTCCACTTAAATCCCATCTGCCCCCAGCTGGCTTGTGCCCTCAGCTCAGGGCTCTGGACTCAAATTAATACAGATGTATCTTCCCGTCCTCCCCACAACTTCCTGTCACCTCTTTCTGCCCTCTGTAGACCCTGAGGCTGCGCCCAGAACCCTGTGAAGGTGCTCAGCAAATTTTTGGTTTGTTTTTCTGCTTGTTTTTAGCCAAATTAGTTGCCAACATTTAATAAAAAATGAAGAGATTTAAAATTAAAATCCACATTTCAAGCTTCTCTTTTCAAATGGGCAGTTTGACAACATTAAGCGTGAATTCCTGAGTGAGGGCACGTGGTGAGGCTGCGTTTCTCCACCTGCTGGGTGCCCGCACGCACGGCCTTGCTGCCCCGGGCTTGCTCTCTGCCCTGCCCCGAGAGGTCTCCTTGACCGGGGCAGTTGTCAGTCCTCAATCTGCCTGGGTGGTTGGCTTTTGCTTATTGTGACCCATTTTACTCACTATGTGCCTGGCCGTGAAGTGTTTGAACTTGGGACCCCAGTTCTAACCTTAGTGTTTCAGGCCATTAAGTGAAATCTAATTCCTTTCTCGGATGTTTCCTGTCACTTGTTCTATGGGCGAACTGCTGGGTAGGACGCAGAATCACCATTTGGCAGTGGCATCCACTATGGGCATACACTATGACGCCTTGAATGGCCTCCAGAAAACTTGGCTGGGAGTTTCCTTTAGAGTCTAGGGTTAGCCAGAGGCTACGTGTTTTGGGCATCTTAACTCATATTTTACCTAAAGGCATGTAAATCCTTCAAAAAATCCCTCTGGTAGCCAGTTCCTGGTTCTGTGTTCTTAAGTCAGGCTTCATTGCTGTCCACCTGGCTTCTTGGTCTCTTCTAACCTCGGTTATTGCTCTAGACAACACATTCAAACAGAGCTGTCTTTCCGGATGTGATTACATCATACCCCATGTCCACCCAAACAGAAACCATCAATAGATACACTTAGAATAAATATGCACGGAATCAAATTATATCCCAAATCTGCCAGCATCAGGCAGTTATTAGAATGGGAAGGGTAGTGGGAGGCAGGATAAAGAGGCGCTGGTTAATAGGCCCAAAAATACAGGTCGAGGGAAAGAATAAGGGCGTGTTCAGTGGCCCAACACGAGGACGGTGGTTTAGGATAATTTATTGTATACTGTATTTCAAAATAACTAAAGGAGTGCGTTTGGAATGTTCCTAGCATAAGGAGTGCTAGATGTTTGAGGGAATGGCTATCAAATCACCCATACACATTGCAGGCATGTGTAACGATATCACACGTACCCCACACATAGCCATTAAAAATTAAGCATATTACATATTTTTAATTATTAACAAATTGCATGTTTAATTATTAACATATTACATATGTTTAATTACTACATATCCATAAAAATGTAAAAATAAAATAAAATAAAACTACCACCATCCACCCCCAGCCTCCTCTCCAGTGCCCTCTCCAGGTACCACGGGTGCACACACTCCTGCACCGGTGCTGTCCCCTCCCGGCTGTGTCACGTTTAGAAAGACATCCATTGTTTGTCTCTGGAAACTCTGGCTCTTTGTGGCGCCTTTCCAGATCCTTCCAGATTAAATTATTCTTTTCCTTCTCTGTTCTCTTAAGACATTTCCCCGCTCTTATTAGTCTGCACTGAGTTGTAGTTACTTGTGGTTTTCTCATGCCTGCACTTGAGCTTATGCAGAACAGGGATATCAATTGCTCACATTTTTATTTTCTGCACCCAGCACTCAGCTTTACACAGCTGATTTGAAACAAATAGAAAATTCATTTCTTCAAGCAACGTGATGACTTGTCTTTATAGATTGGGGCTCAATGTGACCTTCAAAAGAGGCTCTTAAACCTCCTTTGGTTTTTCTAAGCTAAAGTTAGTTTGGTCATTTTTCAAGGAATGGTATATATGTGTGAAATTTTAAAATATTTGTTTGGAAGTATACTGCACCCCCTTATTCTAATAATGAAAAAATAGACAAATTCAGAAAGTTAGACATCCTATGAGACAATGGGCCTAGGTGGTTAAAAGAAAAAAAAAGGTTGAAACCATGAAAAGCAAACAAACCAACCAACATGATGAGGGAGCTGTTCTGTATTTTAAAAAGACATAACCAAGGCAGCGTGTGAACATCCATTCATTTGATCCTTACTCAGAAGACAAAGTCACGAAAGATATTTTGGGGAAGGTTAGCGATTATATCCCAGGTGACAGCACTGAGTCCACATCATGCTGCTGTGAGTGTGCAGAGAGCGGCCTTAGCGTTGGAGACGTGTGCTGAGTTAGGGAGGTGTGAAAGTGGCAGGATGTCAGCAACTTATTTTCAAATGGCTCAACCAAAGAAAGGACGTGTCTATATTCAGAGAAAAAACAAAAGTGTTAAGACAATAATAATTGGTTATTCTGGACTAAGAATACATAGATGGATCATGGTATAATTCTTTCAATTTTTCTGTAGGTTCGTGACTTTTTTCAAAATAAAACATTAGGAAAAGGAGAAAGGGCTAAAAGGAAGTTTAATTTCTTAATTATATTTTTCTTAGGCTATTATTAAATGAACTATAGCTAAGCAGTGAGAAGAAAACATTTACTAGAGTATGGTTCTCTATTTAGGATGGAGCAGCTAGCAGGGCCCTGTGCACCCAGTTGAAGGATTAGTAAATTGGTGGTGCAGTTTGTTGCTTGTTAGAGGGACTTCTCATACTTTATACTCTGAAAGAGAACAAGCTCTGGAGAAAATAGACTAGGTGTATATTGAGCAATGTAAAGTTTTGCTGTAAGTTTGGAAATATTTAACACATTCTAACTTTCATTATCATGAGCCTTTTAAAATCACCTGCTCTTCTAAGGATTGACAAAGGGGATGGTACTGATTTGTCTCCTTTTTCTAGGTTAAAAAAAAATAACCGTAGCTTTGCTTGGTGATGGCTAAATGGATCTGGTTGATAAAGGTGGAGATATAAATATATTGGTATAAAAGGACAAATAAGAGATAAGAGTACGTATTTATTGCCCATTTATGTTATTACGTGTGTCACTAAGGACAAAGGTCCTTAACAAAGACGAAGGCAGAGTAGAAAGAGTTCCCTGTGTTAAGGTAGATGAATTGTCCCCACCTTCCTCTCCACGCAGTTTCGTATCCTTCGGTGTTATCACACATCTTTCTGGCACCATTTGATGGCTGAAGATAAGATATGCTTCACTCCAGTAAAAAGGCGATGAAGAGTTTTCAAGAACATTCACAGGCTTTGCGTGGAGAGGACAGCACTTAACTTCCTGAGGTCGGAGGATCCTGCTGTCTGGGCAGACGGCCCCAGGACCACAGCGCCATGGATGTGGCCGGGGAGGACGAGGCCCTGCAGCAGTTCTTTGAAGGTAAGAGATCAGTTTGCACAGGTGGAGATATGCTCGCTGTCACACTCTCACCTTTTCTGAATTCATTTAAACTTCATCTTGAAAGAAATGCTGTCACATTTACATAACTCTCCTGAGATTGGAAGTGGAGGTTTATTTGTCATTTTTGGTAGCAAAAATCAATGGTATGGATACTGATTTAACAAAATACGGGATTTCCATCTTACAGGTTGGCTGTTTAAGAATCGAGGACTTAGCATATTTATGCCACTATTTATGTCCTGTGTGGGTTTCATTCCTTCTAATCCCCCATGTTTAAAGAACATTATAGATGTGCCTTATCTCTAAAATTATTAAATATAGCACAATAAAAAAATAATATTTAATATCATTAAAACAGCTTAAAACAGAGAGGGAACACTGCCCCATGCCCATCTTTCTGTTTTTCACAATGTTTTAAAAATGTGTAACTAAACTCTGATGGGTTTTTGAACTTGAATATCTTTTTCCCATGGACCATGGTCACCTGGGTTTTCTTCCTTCTCAAACCCCAAATGGCAGGCCAGCCACATTCTCATACGAAGTATGGATTGATTTAATTTAATTAGCTTGATAGTCTAATGGCCGGCTCACTGAAAACGTGAGTGGGACTTGTCCTCTTGTGGTGTCTGGCAGGTGGCCGTGGGGACTCCGCATCAGTGTGGCTTTAGTCTCCGGTCAGTCAGCCATGCTCAGGTCCATGCAGAGGGAAGTGTGGCCACAGCTTTCGCACATTTCAAGGTATTTGCGAGGAGGAAGTGTGGGCAGGATTGGGGGCAGACCTGTTAATGACCGAACCTGGAGAGCAGTCCCAGCACAATGAGGAAGGGCTGTTGGCACTTCTCGTGCTTTGTGAGTTCTGGACACATCACAGGTCTTTCAAGGTGAGTGCAGCAGGTGAATGCTCACCAGTGCCAAACAGGCAGAGCGACAGGTCTGGCCAGAGAGAAGCGAGATTCTCGGCCACTCTGGAAGAACAGACATGAGGGGGAGTTTCTGTGGCTTGGAGTTTGCCAGAAGTGGCAAGAAGGGAGAGAAGTGTCATGTTGTCTGAGGGCTCTGATCTGTCCCACTGTGTCTGGGACCGTGGCCCCAGCGGTGTCGTCCACCTGGGACAGCTTGGCACACAGCCAGTGACCAGAGTTTCTTGACCATCAGTGGCTGCTGTACCTCATATGTGATTCTCGTCTCAGGAGTAGGCATGACGCTTCACATGCAGAAATACGTGCCATACATGGAGACATTCCACTCCATTTATTTTCAGTGCTAGAAAAGACCTGAAAATCTAGGCTGGTTTACCTTCTGCTTTTATGAAAGAGCTATTCATGATGGGATCCCTGCTCTGTCCTTTCCTTATACAATTTTCAGAGGTCTCTATGGATATAGTTTCCACAAGTACACTTTGTAGCTTCCTGCAATATCCAATTATTATATTTATATAATATATATTATATTATATTATTAAGTCCAAACTTAACTCTGTGGCTCCATTTGAAGCCTTTTATTTCAGTGACAGTACACAGTTTATTGATGGAAAGAGTGATAGAATGATAAGCCAAAGAGGGGAACAGAACCTCCAGGCAAAGGGGGAACCCAAGTGGGAAGCCCCCATTTGAAGCCTTTTTGATGGGGGAGAAGTCTGTTCTCCACGAAAAGAGAATAAAATGTCGGGCAGTGACTGTGGCTCAAAGGAGTAGGGCGCTGGCCCCATATGCAGGAGGTGGTGGGTTCAAATGCAGCCCTGGCCAAAAAAAAAAAAAAAACTGCAAAGAAAAAAAAAGAATAAAATGTTCAATGTTATTCTTGGATTATCTTTGAATGAATAGTTGGAAATGGTGGTGGACTTTATAAATAAAAAAGAAGGTGTGAACTTAAGTGATTCCCTCACCACGTAGTTGTCAATTTTTTTTTGCAGTTTTTGGCCAGGGCCAGGTTTGAACCCACCACCTCCCGTATATGGGGCCAACACTCTACTCCTTGAGCCACAGGCACCACCCCATAGTTGTCAATTTTTTATTTCTTCTACTATTCAGCAAACATTGAGCACCTACTCTGTGTCGAGCTTAACAACCGCCTCTCTTAACTGGTAGCCAGTAGGGCGTGGAAGCCCAAGCCCTCCTTTAGATTTTAGTGCTTTTCTTCCTCTGGACCTTTTCAAACCTTCCCAAGATTAGGGACAGCAAAGCTGAACATGACATTCTAATGAGGAGGGCCAAGGCCTTCTCATATGTCACTGTTCCTAATCAAATACAATCTTCTATTAAAAACTCAAGGTCTGAAAATTAAAAAAAAAGTTTTGGCAACTTTTTAATCACCCCAGTGCTATTTTTCTCCATTCCTTCAGACTCTTTATTCTAAAATACTAAGCCATAAATAATGTATTTTTTCTTACGTATGTTTTTGTTTTACATTTTCAAATACAGCTGTCAATATATAGCTGTCAGCTCATGATGACTTTAGTTTTTGTTTTACATTTTCAAATATAGCAAAATGTTTACGATGTGTCTCAGGACAATAGGGCGGTTCTTTGTAGCTGACAATTCTTACTCTAGTTCAGATCGCTCCGTCTGCCACTGACACAGCTGAAGCAAAAGAGGCAGGCAAGGAGCTTCAGGGGTCTCAGTGCCTTCTGCAAACTCAGATGGCGTGTGAAGCGTTTGCCCTTGTCAGGAGACTGGTACGATTGCGAGAGAAAGGCTGTCAGTTGAGAGGCACATTGGTTCGTTGAAAATAGCTAAAAATTGGTTGCCACCTAAAGTTCTAATAGTGGTGGGTTAGTTCATTATGGTTTTCTATACCTATAATGGAATATTTTATAGCTATTGGAAGTGATGATGAGAAGGAAAAATGCTGATTAAAGGTAAAAGTGGATTACGACTTGGAATACATAACACAATTATATACTTAGAGCTAACTTTCTAGAACAACCTTTTATTAAAACCAATGAAAAGTTAATATATTTATAAACACACACAGCTACATAGAAAAAGACTAAAGGAATGTGCACTGGGTATTAACAGTCGCTACCTCTGAGTGGGAGGATCACGAGGATTTTTACTTTGTTACACTTTGTTATCTGAGTGCTTCATAATTGGAATGTATAATGTTATAATCCAGTAAAAATTTATCTTAAGCAAAGGAAAATGGGTTTGATTCAGCAATATGTTTCTGGTTGAGATCTGTTGTCAAGAAAAATCATTAAAGACTTTGGTGCAGATTAAATGAAAGGTAATTGGATGTCTTCTATAGAAAACCACGCCCAGACCATGTGGGGCTAGTGGATTCTATGGGGTGAATAGGTGAAAGGCCCATGCAGTAGGTCCTTCTGCTCAACGTTACTGAATTGCAGCTGGGTTTGAGTTACCAAGCAAGTTCAAATGCATGGAGGAGGAGAACCTGCCCAGCAGCACAGAGATCCAGGGCGTAGGTGGAGCAGAGGCAGTTGAGGCAAAGTGTCGCCAGCTGTGGGTGGGGGTGGGGAAGCCTCATATGCCACTGTTACCAGAGACAGGATGATATATGTCTTACATGGTCCCTGTATATTACTCACCAAAATGTAAAACCAGCTCTGACTGGTTGATGTTTCTGAGAGACGCAGCAGAAGCTCTGACCTGCTGCGCAGAGGATAGAGACTGGCCAGTGGGAGGGTCGCCCCGGGAGAGGCTGGCTGGCGGGTAAAGAGAACCCCTGGCCTCAGGCCAGTCTCTCAGTTCTCCATCTTTCTTTCACTTGGGGACCACACCATTCTCCCTCTCTGGCAGCTGGTGCCTTTATGGCCCCTTAGTTCTGTCCCAGCAAAACCTGAGCCTGCTCAGAAGGAGCAAATGGTGAAGGATGTGACCACCGTGCACTTGTGCAGTGCTTTCATAGAAGACTGATTGTTTTGGTCAAGTGGAGCAGAAAGGTTCCCTCCTCCAAGGGCAGGTCTGGTTGATCTCTGATGGTGGAATTTTCGAATTCATGTTGTCTCCAGGGTCTTTGAAATCACCCCCCTGAGGTGGTAGCTGGTTGTTTATTTGTGAGGCAGCCTCTACCTCTAAGTGGAAATAGCATGGACTTTCCAGGAATTTAGGAACAGAGCATGTCAACATTCAGGAGAACCAGCCAGACTATGCAAGTGATTTAGGGTTGTCTGAGTATTTCTGTGTGATGTTGACAGGTGGTTGGAGGCTACGTTGCATTGGCATGGAGGATCCATAACAAAGTGGCCGATGGCTTGCTGCCATCAAAGAGAAATGTTTTTCTTTTTATCGTGCTAGGATCCTCAAGGTGAAGGCTATTTAATTATAATTTAAAGTGGGACACAAAGGGACCTGTACACCAGCTACATTTACTACCTACCAGGCATATTATCGCCTCTGGGGAGCCCAGGAGCAAAATCACCCAGACAAACCCTCCCTCAAGGAAGCTCCTATGACCTTCTTTGGTGGTGATATCTTTTCAACTTTGAAGTTAGAGCTGTGTTTTTGGAAGACTCCACAGTGTCTTGTAAGCTAAACATTTGATACATGGATACATTTGGAAAATACAAATGACTTAAAAGAAGATAGTTATCACTAGTAACCTTAGCATTTAGTACTTAGGATTTTCAGCTTAGTGTTGATTGTGTATGTTTGTTAAAACAGAGATGGGATTATATTATCTGTACTCTTTAGTAATGGCATTTTGCATAGAACATGGAGCAAACATCTCTTAATATCAGTTCTTCATCTACACTAGGGGTCACAGCTGTGGCTCACAGGCCAGATCTTGCACATGCAGTTTTATCGGAGCTTGACCGTTCCTGCAAGGAGCACGCTGTTCATGCATGGATCCTCTCTGGCCACTTTGGTGCTGTGAGAGCATAGATGCAACAGAGACTATTCAGCCTGCAAAACCTAAAATATTTACTATCTGGCTCTTTACCCAAAATGTTTGCCAACCCTGATCTATAATCTCATTAATAATGATATTATTATTTGTCAAATATTATTAGGTTCTGA